ACTTTTCTTCTCCCCTTTTTATAAAAGCAAAGTTGATTCAATTTGCTTGTCAAGTGGAAGGAAAACAAACAGTAGTCATGATGACGTTGTTATGTGCAAAAGATCCAAACAGAGTCCAGTCACTGACCACGGGGCTCCTGAATTGCGCCTGGTGTGCATTTCAATGTGCTGCAAATATACAGTGCATGCTAAATGTCAGAGACCTGGGATGAAATAAAGACTGTAAAAAGCCATTTGAAGTGGGCTGTACACTTAAAGTGCTAGGTTTGATTATACTGGGCTAAATTAAAACGAGTATAAAATTAATTTCACTAGCTCTTTCTACTTTTTGAAATGTGGCTACTGGCAGTCTTTTAAGTGCAACAGTTACATGTCAGTGTGTGTCTTACATCTCATTTCTGTAAGGCTCTGCTGATGATGACCACCCTTGTAGTTTTCTATGTAGACTTAGGTGTATTGCACTTTAGAGAGAAAACAGTTATCCTAATATGTCAACGCACCGCACCTCTGTTTAATATGCTCTTCTATAGTCACAGCGGAGGGTGTGAGACCCTCAGAGGAAAGCTCCCCAGAACACCACTACACCCTGAAAGTGGAGACTGCACCCCAAGGCTTTGCCGTCTCTACCTCCCTGAGCCCTGCTCTCTATGCCTGGCCTCTCAGCTCCCTCTGGCCCTGAGCTGGGAGCTGTGCATTCCTAAGAATCCAGCTCTCCCTTCACCCCAGATTGGGGCACGAAGACTCTCCTAGCGCAAGCTGCTCACTCCCATCCAGATTCCTGATCACCCCAGGAATATGGGGTGCAGTAGCCTCTTCAGCCACACTGACTGTAATGATTTTTAAACACAAATAAAGGAAATCTCTTCAGTTCAGTTATTTGTGCTGATATATTCAAAGCTATCAGTAATTACAATGTTAGATGATTTAGGTAGTCTGGTTGTTCAGAGCTGTACGATTATCATTACAGACACTTGTGAGGTGTATTCATGGGATGCAGAACCACAAAAATGAAAGTATTTATGGACTTTTAAGAAAGGTGTGTTAATGTTTTACTTGCACATAACTCTGAATGATCCAAAACTATTTGGTAGGCAACTGCGGCCAACATTTTAAAAAACGGGCAATAAATTTTATTAACAATAACAAAAGCCAGCCTACACATAACACTGACACTTCCTATCTTTAATTTTTAAGAACTACCTTTCTATTCAAACGGCAGACGTTAAGTGCTGGAGCCCCATCTGAGGCCAGCGGAACTAGAGGAGAGTGAACCGCAGGATGGGAACCGGGTGAAGATACATCTTCTCCCCGTCTTAGGGAGTCAAACACACAGCCCGTCACTAAAGAATCTTAACGGGGCTAATGTAACTAGGCAACTATCACAGCGTAGATTTGCACCAGGAGCTCACTCACAAGAACCTGTGTCCAGTCCTTCTCATTTCACTTGAAGACAAAAGTCTTCACCAGGCATTTGCTTTAGATTAATTTCTTAGGAGTTAGCGTTGGAGTCATTCTGTAATGTACCCACTGTTCCTAGACTGCTAAACTTTAGATTTTATTCCAAAAAGCCCAACCCAAATCATGGCATTTTTAGTGCTCTCACAGGTTTAGCAAAATAAATTATGGAATTTTGATATTATTTTAAATATTAGCTGGTTTTTAAAAATTATTAAATTGAGTCCTAGTAAATTAACTGAAGATCACAGGATGTTCTTGGCATAATTTGGTATAGGCTCTTGAGCTTGCATTTTAATTTGTTCATCTTCACTATAGATATGATAGAAGTTACAAAGAAAAATCACAAATGTTTTTATTAATGCAAATTAAAGGGGTTTTAAAATACACTCTTGTAAATAAACATGTATGTTCCATACCTTTTTACATGAGCCACATGTAACTTAGTTATTATAACATTGTACGATTACTTCTATCATAAATTGCTTGTTTTAGCAAATTTCTACAGCTTCCTACAGACTTAGCAGTAAATACTTGGTTGCCATTTCTGAATAAGATATGTGTGAATAGATTGGATGCTACACAAGTGACCTTAGTGGGTAGAAATCACCATTTCCATGTCCTTCTTTTGAAACTGTGGGAGAGTAGGAATGAATTCAAGCTGACACACAGGAAGTGACATCACGTGGTAAGACAGAAGGGGAACTTTCCGGTGAGAAAATCTGTTCTGCACTTCTTTTTTCTGAACTTCAGTTGTAAACAGCATCCTCTGCTGCCCTCTGGAGGTTTTAATAGCCATTAGCAAGGACAGCAAAAGAGGAAAATTATTTCTTCAATGATGAAGAGAACATGACCATCTGCTGAATCAACCACAGATTTAAATAAACTAAAATGAAAATTAGTTCTGATATACAAATGTATGTGCACATTCAATTATAAGGTTTAAAGACATGTACATACCTCTTGATATCAAGCTGGTAAACTGCTTTTTCGTAACATTTGGTTTAAATTTTTTGGTAATTTTTATTGTTTTGATTGTTATGCTGAGGCATGCGAGCCAAGCATTCTGCCACTGAGCTATACCCGCTGCCCCTTTTTGATTTTCACTGGGTTTGTTTCAAGATTCAGCAAAATTAAAAATGTGTTTGTTACTTTTTTCATGGTATGTGTGATCATGATTTAACTTTGACAAGATCTGTTATCAACGATTTGCAAAATCTATTTTTCAGACTTCCTTCCTAGTATTCCCAAAAGAACAGATCATTCCATGTGTTAAGTACATCTACCAGCCTCCTATATTACTGGTTTCTGTGCCATCTCTACAATAAGAGAACCAGGTTACAGAAGTCAGGTGACTTTACTGTAGCGAAAAAGCTTTAACTGGCCGTTTGGAAAGTCAGTTGACTCTGCTACCTGGGGACTAGAGCACTTCGCTTCCTCTTTTAGATGCATTCACAAGGACTTCAAGCCCAAACCTAGTAATTTTACCTTTCCCATAACCCCGGTCCCCTTCCTACGCAGCACCGTTTAATGGTACTCTCATCATCCCCTGTCCAAACCAGAAGCCTCTGCTTGCTTCTTCCTCTCTCTTCACCTCCTTTAGCCCATCAGTTCTTAAGCACTTTTAATTTTTAGTCCCCCACCCGGTCGCTGCCTTACCGCTGGCCCATACACGACGTAGAGCAGCTCCGCACCCCACCACCAGGCTGCTCTTTTCCCACTAACTCAGCCCGTGACATCAGCCACAGGACTTCCTCCGAGCGCATTTAATAATGGCACTTTGAAAGTCTCCCTCATTACCTTCACATCTACTTCCTAGCCTCTCTACTTTGAACTGCTTCCTCTATTTTTTCACTCAACAGATACTTATCAAGTGCCCACTTCATGATGGGTTCACGGAATATCTAAGGAGAAAGGCTTAAGAAACTGTAAGTGTTGTGATAGGGTAGGTTTAACAGGGAGCGTTCCAATGACACTGATTTGCCTACTTTTGAGGGTTGAAATGTTACATTTCTGCAAATATTCACTTCTCACATTGCTACAGCCTTATTCAGGTGCTGCTTTTTTAGAAAACCGTGCACTGTTTCCCACATTTTACACATTTCCTAATCTCACGGGAAGTGAGAGATTCCTCTACCTTTTTCTCCTCCACCTCTGCACATGAGGTTCTGTGCATTAACCTCTTACAGTTGGGACGAATTCACTCAGAATTCTGCAGAGATGGGGAGAAGGGGCACCTGCAGTCATGTGGATGTAGCATTATATACTACTCATATTGTAAGACATTGTTCACCTGTCAAGATTTATTCTTGTGGAATACTTGCAGAACAAGTTACTCACAATTGAAGATAGATAGATAGATAAATAGATGTAGCTACAGATATCAGCAAATCAAAATTAAAGTTTAAAAAAGTTCAGAATAGGTAAAATTTTGAAACATCTATAAAATATAACACTAATGAAATTAAAATTGATAATGTTAACATTTTAGTAGAGTAAAAATTGTCTAGAGGCAAGTGGAAAAAATAATTTATTGCAGATTCTTTTACACATTAACATGGAACATTTATACATACACTGATATATAGATAGGTTGATATAATGGACTCAATTTAAAGACAAGCATCTTTACACAAAAGCATATGCACTGTATTTTATAAAGATAGATATCAATAAATTACCGAGACATTTTTAGAACAACAGGCCAATAATCCCAACAGGAATGCATTCTACACTGAAATTAAACTAGCTTTCTGAATGTGATGCCCTAGATAAAATCACATTTTTCTAAGCTAAGAAGTTGATTTCTAGAAATAAAAGCCAGGAAAAATGGCTCCAGATGCAATACCGGAGTGGCGTATTTCCAGCTTTACTCTTGGATATGGTCAGGGGCCCTATCGGGTGGCCCAAGCTACCATAACCGTTTGCTGTGAAACGGTGTGTCTTTCCATAACAGCTGCACGTGGATAAGGTAATCACCCTAGCGATATGGGACAAATGGCAGCTTGCCCGAGGAACTCCAACTGCCATGGGATTTGAATCAGCAACCAAATACTCTCAGACAGAAATGGATATATTCTACGTTTCCAAAAGGAAATTAGCATACTTCAAAATAGTCACTCTTTTCTTAGCATGGTAATATTAACTCTTCAGAAGTTTGAAAATAAATTTCATTTTCCCTTAAAACTTAGAATTCAGTTCTTTAGAAAATGATTTCTACAATGATACTCACTGACATGATAAAAGTTTTGTTCTATGCTATAGCCATTAAAATATACATACAAGCATATATAGGGAATATTAAACACATGTGGTAAACCACGTGTGTCCTGCCAAGTACGGTTCAGGTTCACTTAATTCAACAAATATTTTAATTACTTCAACAAATATTTATTGGGTGCCTACTACTAGCTGATCACCAGGTTGGTTGATACTCGTAGTAGATTTTAAGACACAGAAGTTCACAACACCCATACTCAAAGCCCGTCAGATAATCTACTCAAGCCACAGGAATAATCAAAAGCAGAGCTAATGTAAAGCAGCAGACAGTAGGAGATCCATCTAGGAAGTGTGGGGACTGGAGAGGACAGTGAGGGAGGAAGAGCTCCTGGTTGTGGCACCTTCGGGAGACAGCAAGGAGCTGCCCCAGGCTGCAATCCAAGATTCAGTTCTCCTCCTGACTTGTTTCCTTCAGAAGACAGAAGAACGGGATATTGCTTCAGAGTAGGAAAACTTGTCGTGAGTACTGTTCCTTTTAAGAACGGGGCCTGCCTTCCCATCTGTAATTGTCTATTATCCACTCCCACCACAAGTCAGGGTGAAATTATCCTTCAGGCCACACAACTACAGTAACCAACACTGAGATGCAGGAGTTCGGTTCCTAAGAACATCCACACTCATGCCAACTTCAAGGGTTGTGATTTAAAGCCTGAACAGATGGAAGAAGACAGATGTTTACAAAGATGGCATTCAGTTTCCACTAGAACTCACTACATCCTTTTATGAAAGCATTTTTAGAAAGTGTACACCTACACATGAAAAATATGGTAAGTGATCTCACCGCCTGAAGAGCCAGGACATCAATGGGGAAACGAAATGGCACTGAGTAGGACAGGCCCGGTCCGACCTGTGTGGACAACTTCACTGTGAGGACCAGGCTGGGACACAGGGTGCTCGAGGCCTGGGTTCTGGATGCAGCAGAAGCATCACACTCCAGCACCCCAAATCCCCAAGGAGTGATTCAGAACCTGGCAGATTATGTCATTCAAACTCCTCAAGAAACCCATGGGGGACTTAGATTGTAAGAAATCCGAGACACCCACAAGGAGATACCGTGGCTCTTACAAGGCTCTAAACCTTCACGGCCGAGAAAGAAGACACAGTCTTTACCTGGGGCTAACAGTGGTCGCACCGCCCGTTCTCTGGCCACTGACCCCGGCCCTACTGGAGCGACATGAGAGGAAGAACAGAAGCACAGCCTTCTCAGCCTAGGGATCTGGCTGTAATCTCATAAAAGGACAAACTGGCAGTGCACAACATCCTCTAAAGGTTTTATTGCTTTGCCAGGCTCAGTGATGCCCAGTCACTTCCATTGCCTCACCCTCAGGAGTTCCCTTCAAATGAAAGGATTTGCCATGGTTGCTCCCAATCTCACACCCAGGCTTAAGGCAGGACGAGGCCCTGGCCGCTCCTACCTCTGCCCCTGTGTTTTTCCTGGAGAGGAACCACACTTGCATTGGCTCTTTCTTGCCCTTCATGGACACCGGGCCTCTGTGCTCCAGATGGAACTGGGGATCTGCGTTCTCCGGAGACATCAGACATCTAAGGAGAGGACACAGAGGGTATCTGGAGGAACAATCACTCAAGCTAGAGAACTCAAGCGAGAGCGAGAGTACTCAACTCAAGCTGTCTCCAAGTTTCACTCAGAGTCAGCAACATGGCAACCTCGGAAATTCCCGCTGGCCCAGAGTGGAAACCATGATACAATCTTCTCAAATGAAAAGCAAACATAACTGGGAGTTGGGAGCTAAGCAGGTAACGGTTCAGCCTGCGTAAGGAGATCACAGAGCAGAGCCACGGGGGGACACACGGCCGGCCAGGCAGGAAGCAGCAGGACGCTCCCTCACCTGTACGTGTATTCAGACACATTGATCTTGCCCTTCTCTCCTGTGGTTTCTGTTCTGCTGGTCAGGTTGACGGTGTTTCCAAAGAGACAGTAGCGTGGCATTCGCTGACCAATGACGCCTGTCACCACCTCCCCTGTGTGGATCCCGATTGTTATCTGCAGGAACCACAGCATGGCTTTAATGACCTTATTCTCTCTCTCTCTCCCTCTCTCTCTCTCTCTCTCCTCTTTCACACACACACACACACACACACAAAATTTGGTGTACTCTACATTACAGAATAAGGTGGAATTATGACATAAAAACATAAGGCTTCTCTGTAAGAGCTCAGAAGACATTAGAGACAACTCCAGATGTCTCCTGAGAGAAACACTGTGTCTCAAAAGAAACATGAGGGTTTCTAAGGACGTGAATCAGGCGACTTGTGGGGGCAAAGGAAAAAGAATTATAAACAAAAAGCAGAAGGGATTAAAAAACACCTCATCCTCGTGACTTTCGGTATGTGGAACAGACTGCACACAGGAAAGGGAGAAGGAACACATCTCGTGTCTGGAAGCAGTAACACAACAGGCTGCCCTTCCTGGTGGGCACGGAAGGCTGTCCAATCAGGAGTGCGAGCCAGCCGTCCACTCACCTGCACCGACTCGCCATCCACCTGCACCTGCCCGGCGATCTCCATCATGTCCAGGGCCAGGTGGCAGATGGAGCGCGCGTGGTGGACACAGGGCTCCGGCAGGCCACTGACCGTCATGTACTTGTCGCCCACGGTCTCCACCTGGTGGTACAAGAAGATGCTTGCAGCTCACACGAGCGTGACGGCCTCTGGCTACTCTAACAGAAAATTCTCAGCAACTTTAAAGCCCCCTCCCTCTCAGTTTTCTTACAACCCTGACGTGAAACTCTAACAAGATGAACATCGGTAATTATTTGGAATTTACACACTTTGCGCTAAGGGTCTCTGATGATGGTCCCTTCAGACACAGAATTACTTTTCCTCTAGTAAGCAGTTTCCCACCAGTGGAATAAATATTTACGCGATTTCATGATAAGACAGGGATGGTCTGAAGGCACAAGAGCTAAGCCTGCAGCCCAGTGCTTTCTCACGGACATTAATGACGACTCTCACATGCTCACCAAGTGCCCCACTGTGTCTTGGAAAATGGCTATAAAATAAATAGTCCTCCTGAAGGTGCATCGCCCAGGGGCTGGAGGTGGTTTAGTTAACATTCTTGCCTTTATAAAGCAATATCCCCTGCTTCAATTTTTGCATTATCATATTTGTTTCCATTTGAAACCAAGGAAAGAAATGCCTTATGAATGTTTATCTCCACGCTAATGTTATCTAAAAGCAAAACTGAGTCCCAGGACCCCTCTCAAGCTCTGTGACTTCGCCACAGCACAAAGCATGCGTGAATCTCGGAGAGTGCGTCTCTTGTCAGGCACTGGGCTGAGTGCTGTGTTTCCACTGCACAGCAGCAGCCGCAGTGGAGCTCACCGGGGTACAAACGGGCTGCCGAGTGTTCACCTAACTCGGGAGTCAGCGGCTCCACGAAACATTCATTTTGGTTACAAGGAAAGGAAGGCGGTGACGGGAGCTAACGGTTCAGAAAGTGACCAAAGTGACACCTTGGCACCCACTGTACCAGGCTGGCGGCCACAGCCCCAGCGGCTGATGGGGCTTCCGGAGGGGCGGTGCCGAAGCCTGCACTCTGGGGAGGACTTGCCTTATAGACGAACGGGTTCTTCCGGGAGTCCGTCAGAGTGTCAAACCTGGTGTACAGGTCGTTGAGAAGCTTTACGATTCTCATGGCCCCCTCTCCAGACGCATGCTTGCTGCAGAAAGCGTTGAAGCCCACGATGCCACTGAAGAGGATGGTCACGTTGTCGTACCTTTTGGCAGGCACGGGACGCTTGTGTCTCAGCTCGTTGGCAACAGAGGGAGGGAGGACGGAGTACAGCAATCTGTCGGGATTGGAGAAAGGCGCTGTCAGAAATGCTAGAGGATGGGAGGAAAAGGGTAAAGGTGTAGGGAAGGTGGGACGGGTAGGGGAAGGGTAATAAGGGAAAGGAGAAAATGTGAGAAAATGAAAAATGGAAATGAAGTGTTTGTACATGGGGAGAGGAGGAGGGGCTGAAGGGAGGGCAGGGACAGGGGGAAAAATGAGAACCAAGACCTGTCATGGAAAGGTACAAGATCCCAATGATGAACGTGACTGTGCTGTATACCTAGAGTGTACCAATAAACTCAATGAGGAAAAAAAGAAAAACAGAAATGCTCGAGATACTGCCAAAGTGCTTCTGTGGGCCTCTCACAGAGAGTCAAGACCATTCACTCTGGGTTCTGGTAGGGGACCTTATAAAATTAGCACTCATGGGGGGGCACTGAAATCATTTTCGTTATAATCATAAAATCACAAACCCAAGCCAATTCAATCCAAAGCAAAATACGCCAATCAAACAAGCAGCAAACAAAGGACTAACGATGACAGACACAACAAAGACTAACGATGAGACACTCCCATTTGTTGTTTGCAGCCCTCTATGCTGACTCTTTGGTCAGGACATTCAGAGTTCACTGTCAGCACCACAGTGCTGAGTGAGCAGAGCAGCGGCAGCTCAGTCCCCAGGAGCTGTTCCGTGACTTCGCGGTGGTGACGTCAGACCTCCTCCTCCGTGGGAGGGACTGGCCACAAGGAGCAGGGATTGCTCCCGACAAGAAGGGATTTTCTCCCTGTACGAAATACTGAGATTATGGCGCTGGTGTGCTAAGTGCACAAGCAGTCGGTCAGCACACAGGCGGAGGAGGAGAGCGGATGGACTGAGGAAAGAAGCTGAAACTACAGGCAACTATCTTAACACAAAAGAATCAGCAATAAATGAGCTCTTCCCTAAATTCAAAGAACGAAGCTTACATATACAGAATGGAGTACAGAGCTCAATTTTTTCCCCAGTCCCAATGGCATTTCCTATCACTTATTTTTAATTTCTAAGCAGAGAACACACTGTAAAATATTAAGGCTACATTTGACGATTAAAGGTGAACAGAACCAATTAGCTTTAAATAAAATCAATAGTACATGACACAATGAAATCATCCTGAAATCAAATATTTGTAAAAAATAAGTCTAATTCTCAAAAACTGAGGATTCTTGGAGCACAATAATTCTAAATAGTACAGATTCAGAAAGTCAAACCCACGTTGGGAAAACAGGAAGGAAGGGTGCTGAGCTGAGAACTTATCAGCAGCTCATACTAAAGACGAACCACACACCCAGTCCCAACAGTGCTCAGCTTGGGACTCCTGGTGTAGGGAGAGAAGTCAATACCCTGCTTATGCTGATGAAAGGGGAAATGAGTACTTTTTTCAATAGAATATGAATATATGGATATTTGTTACACTTCAAATGAGCACTCTTTAGAGTACCAGTTAGTTAGTTAACTGCTTTCTGCTGCTACAGTTTGGACCTTAAACATCCCCTGAATGCTCCTGCCCTGTGGTGCTGATGGGAAACAATGGGACCTCATAGAAACAGGTTACGTAGGTGAGGGGTGCACGCACTTGTGGGGGATTTGGAAGCTGATCTCTTGCCCTCTTGCTGGCTTCTCAGAAGCCTCCTCTGCAGTGGGGTCCCACCCTGATACACGCTGCTGCTGCAAGCACAAAGGCAACAGAACCAAGGGACCATGAACTGAGCTCTCCGGAGCTGCAAGCCGAAGTTCACCTTCTTCCTTTTAAGCTGATTTTCTTACGTAAGTGTTACAGTAATAGAAGGCTGAATAACACAACTAAAAATGCAGATACTAGAAAATGCTGAGTCACAAAACAAAAAATGAAACTCGGGGAGTTATCTAATATAACGGGCAGACAGGATACTGAGAAACTCAAACTTCCAACCCGTTATGACTTTGAACCGTAGTTCTAAGTGTGGGCTTGCAAGCTCCATAAAAAACGTACCTGTACATGGATGGAACTGTACCACATGCCAGTAAAATATATACTTTGAGTTGTTTTTCAAGAAGAGGGAGATTTTATGTTGTCTGCCCTATACACTTGCTGCAATTTGCAAAATACATGGATAGACTGAACTGGGTGCAGCTGAGGACCGGGAGGGAAATAAAGTGGCCTCAAAGGAACCAAACACAGTGTTCAGCTTCATGGCACAAAGGCCAAGGCGAACCGATAAGAAGCTGTGGACAAAGACCTGTATGTACACTGGCACCCTCGACCCCAACCATGAGACTAAGTTTAACTGCTGTGTCCCTTGTGTGCAGAGCCTCCGTGCGCGGGCAGCTCCGCGCGTTTCAGTGCCAGAGAGGAACAGAAGCGAGGCGGTCACCAGTCTGGAGGGGGAGTGAGTGTTACGATATGAACCGAGGCAGACGGGCTCAATTCTCTGACAATTCAGCCCCTATTTATAAATGTTAACAACACAGAACCTGGGTAAAGGCTCTAGTAAACATGAGGGGCCTAATCTCTTAATTAATATGCATAAGCAAAGCAAAGTAATACGCATGGTGGATATTAATTTAAAACTATAACTTCAAAGGGATGTATTTTCTTTAACATTATTTGTCCATTTTTCATAATTTAGGTTATCATTCATATCAAAAGAACAGTTTTAGGTTTTTATATTTTTACTAGTTTTGTCACCACAAACGTATTACTGTCACTGCAGATGACAATACAATCAGAATCATAAAATAATGTCTTAAAACCTAAGTACAGTGCTCAGTGTGACCCTCCTCAGCTGGTCAGCAGGGATGCTGAGTATCCACTGCATGCGTGAGTGAAGACCTGGGCTTCCTATGTCGGAATCACTCTCGTGCTTTTCACGGATACTCCGACATCTCATCTTTTACCTGGCTTCTAAGCCCAGAATACGTATTTCCCCTACGACGAAGACTGGTTTTATTTCCTTATGCACGGTTTCTTTCCAATACCACAGTACGGCTGAAGACGTGGGTCAGTGACAGGACACGTCCCTAGCGTGCAGGAGGTCCTGGGGTCAATTAGCAAACCCTGAACGGATGAATGGATAAAAAGGGGAAGGCTCTGTCCACCCCTACAGAGACACAGCAAGGCCCGTGCCTGCCCAGTCTGACGATCCCTCTGAACTCCAGCAGGGTAGAACGCATCACCGGTAAAACTCCCGCCCTCCTCAGCCCTCCTCAGCCGCACTCTTACGTGTCTGTCTTCTTCTTTTCATCTTCCAAGGCTCTCAGCGTGAGCTGCAGCCTGTCCGTGAGGATCTCCAGTTCCTGTGTGAGTTTGTATTCCTCCCTGAACTGCTCGCCCAGAAGAACCAGGTCGCGGGTGGCATCGTGCAGCGGGATGTCGCTCAGGTACAGGCCTCTCCTGGTCAGGTCGTCCAGGTTCATGACGCTGTGACACAGAGGACGGGCAGGTCAGGCTGCGGCCCCATGACCGGCCAGAGGGGAGAAAACTACAGGCCCCTGAATTCCTAAGGCGGCTTTGTTTCTCACGTACCTAATACTCCCTCACAGCAGCAAACCTGAGATACATTTTTGCCACGCTGTATGTTTTGGATCTGTCTATCTTTTCAGAAAGCTGAGGTCGAAAGCTGCTCTGTGAAATCTTCCCAGATCCTTAATATGAGGCTACTGTTGATCACATAATCACATTTCTCTTTACAGAAAGAGGAAGAAGTATCTATACTTTCTTCTAAGCAGTAATCACTTCTTTTGAGAAACTAGTTCACTTTTGCCCATGGTTTCTATCAATCTTGTCACTGGCTGCTTTTCCCATGGCCACAATGTTTACAAGTCTGCAAGATTTAGTACATCTTCAACATGCAGTTGATGTGCTTAAAAGCCTTTCTGGCACCTACTTCTGTGTTATTCTTACTCCTAGCTCTTGCTTCTGCTACTCTCATTTTCTTTGATTAGTTTTTCCCATTTTTCTGAATCATTATTTGACCTTGATGAATTCTATGCCTCTTTCAAGTTTAAGTCATTTTTGGAGCACCGAAAGTGTTTATTCATTCAGTGAAGATCTGGTAAGTAAAAAGTTCATTGCTTTTAAAATATTTTACTCATGGGTTAAAATGTCTTAAAGATACTAGTTTGAGTTATTTACATACAAAGTAACTATTTCCAGTTACTCAGATAATAATTTCTCTAAATAGAAAAATCGGGTTATGATTTCACTAGGGATTTATTGAAACCTCAGACGGTTTCTTTTGATTTTGTTAAAATGAGAATTTAAGCCCTCTTGCAGAAATAAACCCATCTGGAAAGATACCAGATTGCTTGCCAAGCAATGCCTAAGATCTGCCACTGGGCAGATTATAAACTCAAAATGGAAGTGAACAGCTATAAATATTCATACTGAATTATAAAACAAATCGTAACTTTTAATTGTTCTAAAGTACAATTTTAATGAACTAGTAACAATTTTTTCTTAAATTAATCATCCAAAAATTGTTTTATGAGTAAAATTGCTTTAATCTGAAATCTTTCTACACACATGAGCCAGTCTCATAGGACAATCTGTGAGTCCTTACCCAGGACCAATTCCTGCAGTTAAACACATTCCAAATGGTCTGCTGTTGTCTCCAGGAAAGCCTTTTTTCTCCTTGAGTGGGAACTGTCCCTACCTGCAAACTAATTTTATAGACTCTCAACCTGGAGAGAGGCAGGAGAAGAAAATGCTCATTGATCGGAGACAAAATACTGAAAGATCAGTGTGGGTTGTTAATATTTAGAAGTTTTATATTTGCTAATTTTGCCCCTTTTTCACTTTTATGTAGTACATATAGTCACGTTAACATTAAACCATATTTAATTCATATGTAATGTAGTTAATGATTGCTGGTTAATACAGTCTTATCTAGTTTACAGTTGTTACGTATTCCTTCACACCATTCGACTTTTTCTTTCAGCTGTGAACACAGCACCTTTCCATGGAAAGAAAACAAGGCAGAGATGAAATGAATATTTAACCGACAGCTCACCGAAACAGGATTTCTCAAGTGGACCCTGGACAACGAGCACAGACTTTGGCTGCACAGTTAAAACGCACAAAGTGTCACCAAATTACAAGTCCTTTGGTTTCTTTTTGTTCTAAAGAAAATTTAGATAAAGTTTTTTATCTGCTGAATTTTTGTGCATCCTTCAGGTAAAACTATTTCTCAGTGTGGAAAAACACAAACTCATAGTCTTGCTCCCCTATTATCTTTATTACAAACAACAAATTTTAATATATTTCAATTTAGTAATATATTTCAAGGAGTGTTATCTTGTTAAAGTAATTAAATATTTTTGATATAAAGAATCTCAGAGCTAGAAATGGAGCACTTTCATAGTTCTTACTGCCACAGCATAGAAAAACTACTTTCTTGGAGCCCAACATACCCATGCATTTGTACTACCATTTCAGAGGTGTATTTACGTGATACTTCTGAAGACACAAACGTAGAGCACTAGTTAACTGCGGATTAACTATCCGTGATCTGATGGCATAAACATTTCAGAAGTAGATTTTGATGTGGCATATAAAGTAGGCCGCTTCTGATTTTATTAGCAAGTATTCAGTAAGGTCATGCTTGCTACAGAGAATTAGATAACAGGGGTAGGAGACTCCAACCGCTCCTATATACGAAGGAATAAAGTTTCCCTGGAAAAGGGAGGCTGCACTTTACCAGTTCATGCTGTACACACGCACTGCAATATCACGCTGAACACATTAATATGCCAATTAATACATTTTTATCAAAAATTAAAAATGAGAACGACGGACAGCCTATGAAGTACAGATGGGTCCTCACAACAGCCATCATTAGCCCAGGTTATTACCTCGGGGAACACAGGAACAGTATGCTGTCTGCCTCGGGTAAGTAGATCATCTGACCCTTGAGACGTAAGCAGCTGATCTCCGTCCCTGTCAGTTCGTCCTCACATTCTAGCGTCTCTACGTCCAACAATCCTTCCTTGAGGAGATAAGACACAAGGACAAAACCATGAACTCTGCCTGGCCCTGCCCGGCCGGCCACTCATCAGCAGGGGGACGCTCACAGCTCATCTCACCCCGACCACGGGGCAGAGGAAGTGCGTGGGTCTGGCAGGGAGGCCGTCAGCACAGAAGCTGGCCAGGACCTCGCCTTGGAATGCAGAAGGGCAGCAGACACTGTTCACACACTTATTTAACCGGTTTTTGTGAATCCGGTTTACCCCGATATTCACGGATGGACATGCTTTCCCTGGTAGTTAGACCTAGCTAGAAAATAATCAGTCTTGGAAACTAGAGGTCAGAACTTCCAGCCCCATCAGCCTATCCTGGCCTCTCCTGCCTTCCAGAGTGACCACTGAGCAGGAGAACTGTTTTGGGGAAACAGAGTACCAAAGGATAAAACAAGCCAATGCTGTATTCACACAGCAGCTGAGAACAGTCAGTCTCAAGTAGAAAAACATGCACAGGTAGAGGTGTGGAAAGATGAAATGATACTCGAATTAACCCACTGAGGACACAAACAGATCTGGATACTATCAAATTAGTGTGAATATTTTATCACTTGTTTTCCTACAAAAATGGCATGAAGAATAATAAACAATTTAAGAAAGAATTAATCACTGGCTTTGGGTGAGGTTAAAAAAAACCTTTGTTTTTCTAATTCCTAAAATAAGACAGTGCACCATACCGGGGAAAGAGGGTGGTTTTATTATGGGACATGGTGCTTTCCCAGCAGGACACCTAAAAGTTAGGTTTGTTCACTGCGATCAGCTCATGCAGTTGCATGTTTTCCAGCAAAATCCTAAGTCAGCAGCCTGCTCTCCAGGCCACAGGGGCTTGGCTTTCAATTCCTTTTAATTTCGCCATCTCACACAGGTAACGGTAGATGATTTTCCTCCTGACCACTTCAGAATGGTAACACCATGGAATGAAGTAAGAGTTTGATTACCTTGCTTCTCAAGACGAACACCGTATTGATGTGTGAAAGGATCCCATGGAAACTAATATCAATATGAGGACGGACCAGAGAGAAGACAGACAGGAGGCTGCAATTCCCGGGCTGGAGCTGCAGTGCAGATAAAGAGCAAAGGACACTTCCTGAGTTAAAACAAAGGTAAGAAACTTACCTGGACTGTGGACTCAAACACAGCTCAGTGACTAAGTGGACATCAAACGGGAAATCTGCTAAGATTCAGACAACTGGTACTTGGATACTAGTAGATGCAAGTGAGAATGTTAAGGACAAGGGATGAAAATATGTCTTCTGAAATGTGCCATGATGTGTTAAATGCCTATGGCTTAAAATCAGATTAAATGTTAAAAATACCTACAACAAGCTGGGCACATGCCTGTAATCCCAGCACTCAGGAGGCTGAGGCAGGTGCATCGCTGTGAGTTTGAGACCAGACTCGACTATATAGTGAGTTCCAGGTCAGTCTCAACTACATAGTGAGACCCTGTCTCAAAAAAACCAAAACCAAACAAACAAAAAAATACCTACAACGCTTTCTTAAAGTTATCCAAACAGGGCTGATACTAACAAAATAAGTAGCATTCACTGACTGCTTATGAGAGATGTGGCATGAGAGTGAGCCCCTCACGGGATCCCTCCAGAGGTGGGAGCAGAGGGGACACAGGCCGAGGGACACTCGGGGTCACAGGACGAGGGACTGGAGGAGGTGGCACACACCGCTCTTCTGCTTCCAGATTAGTCTTCTGCCTTCCCCCATGGGGCGGTGACAAGGTTTCCTTGTTACAAACAGGAAGTCCTGCACCTCTGGACACATGTCAGGGACACGTTCACACCATCACCCCAACTGCTGTCCTCTGATACTTTCTCTACTAAACAATATGACAGTTGCTTTTGCGTCAGTGTTTTCAAATTCTTTCCTTTTCCCTAAAAATGGCAGTAGTCAATTTTGCAAGCTGTTTTCAGAAGGTAAAGCTACAACAGATATTTACTCAACAGCGAGAAAGTGACCGCTGCCTGCTAGCAAGTCCCCCCTTTCTCATTAAAATAAGCACAGCACTTCTGCACGGTGTCCTGCTTCGCTGTGAGTGACCACGGCAGGGGCAGACACACCCGAGGGAAGCTGCAGCACGCTCAATACGCTGCGCTCAGCCACGCAGGGCACGGCCCGTGTGCTACCTGATACACGAGCAGAGGCTAACGTGAGCGCCGCACGTCCTCACCTGGGGCAGCACTCTGTAGATGGCATTGCCGCACTGAGTGACCACCAGGTCGCGGTCGAATATTATGTGGAAAGGAAAAGCTTTGCAGAAGGTATAGGGGCTGATGCGGGATTCCTGGGTACCATTTTCTTCAAATCTATCAAGGTCTTCATAAAAATCCTCTTCTTTTGACTCTTTCTCTTCAATTAAAAATTGAGTATGATCACATTCTTCATTTCTTTGCTGAATAACCTGGATGGCAAAGGCGGAAAAGACTGCATTTCAGTTCAGACTCAATAGCTCAGTGTAAGAGACTGATGATGAGAACTGCATCTAGGCCACAGTTTTAAATATTCAAACAAAATGCAAATACTAAAGCAAAAATTTGATACATATGTAAATCCATACCCATCTGAAATAGAAAGATATTTCAAGACAGCGACCCGAGAAACTGGACACTGGATAATCATCCCCAGTAAAATGCCCACCTGATGTACATTCCCCGGCTGCCTCGTGTCTTCCTTGGTAGAATCAGGAGATAACTGCCCCTAGTTCTGCTGGGCTAGCGCCCCTCCCTAGGCACAGCTGTTTACCAGCCACAGAAGGTAACACTACCTAACGTGATAACATGGTATTCAAGGACAGTGGGAGTTTACAAGGTAGAGACATGTATTTTCAAACATGCAATGATAACTGTTCCTCATCAGTGGGCAGGTGGCCACTGCCTATGTCTGAAATGACCCCCCTGATCGCCCTGGTGTCCAGTGGCCAGAGGCGGGGCTTTGGAAGGTGGGGAAAGGGACACTGATGGGCAGATCAACCCACTGAGGGCTCCCTGGCCACGCACCGTTCCCAGGGGCCGAGCAGGGGCTGCTGGGAGGGGGAGGGAGGCAGCATTTCTGTCCCTGCCTCTTCTCTGTCTCACGCGTTCCCTTTCTGTCTCTCTACTTTCAGCTGTGATGATGCTTCTGCCTTGGGGCCAGAGTCCACGGGCTGAAACTTCAATCCTGGGGGAAATAAATCCTTCCTCCTTTAAACCGTACGTATCAGGTGTTTGGTCCCAGCAGTGGAAAAGGACGAATGTGCGAGTGTAACAATTGCAATTCCAGACTGGAGGGGATCCTGAAAAAAGAGGCATCCGAGATAGCATAGACAGGGGGCTCTCTCATCTCCCTGAAGGATACACTGATGATTTTCATAAAAAGCCCTTAAAATTATATACCGTATGTTTCCATTCACTCCAGGAGTTTATTCTAAAGAGGTAATCACGATTGCAAGCATAGCTCTGTAACTTAAAGAAATGATTACATTCCTAAAGTATTACTCACAGTCTGATGTATTATTACAGTCTAGAAAATATTCTCTCTTAAGGAACTGTAAGCAACGAGACCCTTACAAAGGGAAAAGTGTCTGCCTCAGCCCAGGCAGATCCGAGTGGAACCTGGCTGGGGCAAATGAAAGCCACAGGTAAATGACAAAATGTTGTCATTTGTGTTCATTCGAGTTCGCTGTAGCATCTTCGGACACTTGCACAATCACAAACCTGGATATCATTGCACATATTTTTTCAGATATATCCTTTCATGTCAAAATTAAGACATCACAGAGCCAGGGATTTAGCTCTTGGTGCTGCCGTCACCTGCCTCACAAGCGCAAGGTCCCAAGTTCAATCCTCAGTACCAGAAAAAAAAAAATTAAGGCATCACTACTGTAACTGCTGCACTATCGGACCAATTTTACTATACTGGGTAGATACTGATATTCCTGTGCATCATTTGAAAATTTCGCTCCCTTGATGTTGATTTGCCTAACTCGTGGGCAGAAGAAAATGGTCAGTCTTACACTTCAGGCCTAATTTCAATGTTCTGCTATACTGAACTAGAACTAAAATGTATGTACCTTAAAGTTATTGGTTATTTGATTTCTTTATCCAATTAGGAAAAAAACTGCATTTGTGATCTATTCTAACCTCTCAGTGATAAAGTATTTTTGGTCGTGATTTAATATTTCTTATGTCATTCCAGTTGTCTGGTATTTCTGGACCCATTAAATTCATGAATTTGATCTAATATCTAAAGATGTTAAACTATTTGTTTAAAAACTTGAATATATAAAAGTTATTTATAAAATACAAATACTTCCAAGTCTGCACTGAATCTCTGAAAGACTCTAAAGATAGTAAATACTGCATAAACAGAACCATGTAATTAAGTAAAAACTTGAACTTTGCAGAGTGTGTGAACCCCATCACTCTCTGCAGTAACCAAGGCAAATGCGGTCTCCAGCGTCCTCATCTGCGTTTCTTTCTGAGGCTTCTGTGTGCTGGCATCCTGCTCATCTCAGCTAAAGGAAGACCAAACCCAGCAGCAGACAGATGCTGTTCACAGCCCTGAGTAGGTTCCCTCGGGATAGAAGCTGCGTTAGTTTGGGGTTGAGATCAAGAGATGGGAAAGAAAGGGCAATGTTATTTTTGAGTGAATTCCAGTGTGATTCCTATCCACGCACAGATTTCAAACTTTACCCATGATTTTAACCTTTACACATCTGAGAGTTTGGCTACTGCAAGTTAAACACAGTCCCCCCGTGGCTGTTTTGTGCTTGAGTTGCACACATGCAAACCTCCAAGTCCCACGCAAGAAGTGCCACACCGACTCTCAAAAAAAGGAAACAATAAAATCTAACTGGCACGATGAGATTAAATATGAGGTATTTTCCTAATTACTCTAAATGTTGCAAGTTTTGCGTTCTGGGCTCCCACCTGAGTTAGAATACAACTATGAGAGCTGAGAAAGTACTGCCTATGAGATTTCCCATAAAGAAAGACAACCAAATTAGGGTACTTCTTCCTGATTCCAGTTTGGTTCAAGCTCACAGCTATTGCAAATGGCCGGTGGGGCAAAATATGTGAGCATACAGAAAAGCAACCTACAGGGAGAGGCAGCATGAGTCGGCAGGAGAAAACAACAGCAATTCTTGTGTTTTTCTGTTAGTACCTAAGAAAATTAGCTATAGTATCAATCAATAAAGAACTGTACTATCAATAGTAGCACAGTTTTTAAAGTACAGTATCAGACCTGGCTTCTCTCACCAAAGTAACTGGATTTAAAAAAAAGAGAGGGAGGGGAGGGAGGGTTGGAGGGTGGGAGGGAGGGAGACAGGAAGAGGAAGAGGGAGAGAGTGAGCGCACCGCACCCAACTTCCGGATGACCAGACCTCTGTGTCAGAACAGACACAAACAACTCCAGAGGGAAAACTGCAAACTAACACCTATTTTTGCATTTTCTTCGTGTGTGACCAGATATCTTGCACACTGAACACCACAGCTGGGTCTCTGCCCCCCAGCTGGTGTGTGCTCACAGGGAATGCAAACCAAATTTCTTCCTGCCCTTAGGCAATGCATAATTAGAAAGAAAAATCTGCTTCCACAAGGAAAAAATTCCTGTATGATGCATTCCAAGGACAAATATAGAATTCTGCTGCTGTCCCCACTGTTCCGCACACAGATACACAGGCATGTATCTGCACGCACGCACACACACACTTTTCTAGAGATGGGCACTAGCAGCCATCGCTGCAGGTGAATTCAGTGTCTGTTCCTATCCCGACCGTCCCGCGTTGTCCCCCTCCCCGATCCTCACCTTCATGTCTATTTCCGTGCCGTGTATCTGCTGAGCCACTGTCTTGATGATCCCAATGACGATGTCCTGCAGCCCCTCTCTCTCCGAGTAGTAGTGCAGAATGAGCCCTTTGCCCTTTTCCGCGTCCGTGCACCTAAAGGAAGGTGCGCGCATGCCTGGGTAGATGGTGGCGAGGTGGTCATGCAGGGCATCCAGGTTCTGCAGAGAGGGGAGAGGGGTGAGGGCACGGCCACGTGGGCGGCCTGCAGTAACCCGAGGTGCGGGTCAGGGCTCAAGTCCAAGCTCCCTGGACAGACGGCAGAGGAAACCTTCGGGTGGAGCGTCCCTCACTCCCCCACCACACACATCAAGACTGTAAGGGTATAAGAAGCAAACCTCCGGGGGCTACTGCTCATCAGTACGTCTTTTTGTTTGTTTGTTTGTTTTGTTTTGTTTTTTTAGACAGGGTCTCACTATGTAGTGAGACTGACCTGGAACTCACTATGTAGCCCAGGCTGGTCTCAAACTCAGCGATCCTCCTGCCTCAGCCTCCCGAGTGCTGGGACTACAGGCGTGCGCCACCACACCACTTCATCTTAAGAAAGGACAAACAAACAAATGGCATGTGGAGAGGATGCCTGAAGCCAAAAAGGGGAACACAGGGCTGAGGAGCAGAAACACCTCCCAGAGGAGGGCAGCTGTGGACGAACGCTGGGTGAGCAACAGGGAAGGCACAGCACCTTCTGTTCATGCCGCCCTCGCCAAACAGTGTCAAGGTCGGCACCAGGATGCTAAGTTGCTAAGTGTATGAAAATATAAGGGCATCACTGTGTGGAGCAATGTTTTAGAAATTAAAGACATATTTTAGAAATGATGTCTCTGTGTCTAATAAATTAAAAATAAAATCTAATACATTAGCCTGTAAATATTCTTTGTTCTTACAGCCTGGCTAATGAGCCTGGACGTGCCAAAATCCCCCGGTGTCCTACGTTACTCACTAAAGCACAAAAATGTTTTATATAAAAGTTCCCACAATAAAAGGCACAAGCTACACTTTTACTTGGTCCGTCCAGCATTATTCGTGTGTGTGTGTGTAGGTGTGTGTGCCCTGGGAATTCAACCTAGGCCCTTCCTTTGCACTGAGCTACAGCCCCAGCCCTTTTGTTTTTTGAAACAGGATTTTGCTAAATTACCTGGGCTTGACTCAAAATTGCCATCCTCTTGCCTCAGGCTCCCAAGTGCCGTGATTACCAATACATGCCACTCAGCCCGGCTGCAGCACAGCTTTTTAAACAGCATTTGGTTCATAACATGTGCGTGAGGTGTGTAGGACACACACAGAGCACTGTGGTCCTGAGGGCTGACCCTGAGATCTAGACTCACGGTGCTCTGACTGCCTTCACTGTACAAGTCTGCTGTGCTCAAACCACCTTCACCCACAGTGCTTTCTGTCTTCTCCCACTGTTGGAACCAAGTCAGGTTAGTCCTTGATAAAAACAGCCATCCATCCTGATTACCTCTAGAGGCTGCCAGTGCCCTGTAGAAGGAATTCAATATGGCAGACACCAGGAATGGACAGTTTCTACAAGCTTACAAGGTCTTGAATCTTAAAATTTTTTACTTGGTTGAACAGTACCATAGGTTTTACAATTCTCCCAAGTCTAAGGGCTGCTCTGCACAATCTTCAAGATCCTTCATATTTTGTACTTCTATGAAAAACCTTAACAGAAAACATACTGGTTAGAAAAAAGAAATCATCGTAAGAGTTGAAATTTCATCTCTACTTATGAAGGAGTCAATATTGAGCTTTTGGCTGCCTTAATAATATTTTTCTAATATAACCAGGCCCAGTGCTGTGGTGTGGAGATTTAATAAAAGGAAAGAAATTCAAGCTTCTGGTGCATGCCCAAATCCAGCCTGGACAATTTAGTGAAGCCCTATCTCAAAATGAAAATGTTAAAAAAAGGGGGGTGGGTGGGTACGTAGATCAGGGTGAAAGGCTCTAGGTTCAATCCCCAGTGCTGTGGGGGAAAAAAAGACCCAAAGGGGTCTCTGGACACTTCTTCCCACTCACCCACCGCACCAGCCAGTGTGCAACGATCAGCGCCACACCCACCGACAGGCACCGCACTTCTGTGCAGCCCACCCAGTGGCCTGAGACAGAACCAGCGGGGCCATGCCGTCAGCAGCACCCGGACCCCAGGTGGGAAGGCCCAGCCCAGCTCTCCCAGTGAGGAAGACAGGCACAGTGGGTGGGGGCACTGTAATTTACATACAGGTATGGGTACCTCGAGGCATTACTGTTCATAACAAAATACTGCTTAAATGCATCCTTCAGATTAAGCAAAATACGAAAATCACCCGGTGAGCATGTTCATCTTTTGTATTACTTTGCAGTAACCAACTCTCGAGAGATTTGCTGTTTTATTGAATTTACTATTAATTAAATGGACAAGCAAAGTGCTTTCCCACAGCATACATGATTTAACACTACTTAATGTAATATTGATTTTCTTTAGATAGTATCTAACGTAGAAGATGCTCTTGGGGTTTCTGTAGTTACAGCTCTCCCTACGTGGTTTTACTCTGTCAAAGTTAAAGTGATTACCACAGCCTGCCCATCCTAAGAAATGGGGTTACCAATTAGAATTAAACTATTTTCACGGAGTGCACCACGCTGCTGATAAACACGCCTTCACAATTTGGACACAAGTGGTAAAAGCCTCAAAGAGCTACATAAACACACATACGCAGGGGTCTTACAGCAACCCAGAGAAACCTTCACCAGGTTTGATAAGTTTCTCTAAACAAAGTTGACTCTTCATCCACATTAGTGTAACAATGGATTCTGGAGAAGCTTCACCTCAAAACTGATACTCTCTTTTACTTCTAAATACACCCAGAGAAGCAAGTATAGGAAAAAACAAAACCAAACCGGAGAGCTGTGTGTCCGATTACAAAGTGTATGCATATGCATGAAATGAAAGCTACAGAGACAAGGGAAAAGTGAACACACACTGTAGAAAGCAGATTTCCAGGAAGCCGCACAGCAAACCCTCAGTTTGTATGCATTCTTTCTGACCTCATAAAAGCTTTTAAAAATTAAAAAAACAAAACAAAAAAAACAGAGGTATAGAGAGCAGGTACATTCACCCATTTTATGTGAAGATACCGAAAGGTAATGCTGAGGTTTTTAATTCCATTCCTAAATGTTGTTCCTGTTCTTGTTGTTGTTGTTTGGTTTTCTGTTGCTTAAACCAGGTTATTTACCCTGAGCTCTATGTCATCCCCATTTTAGTTTTCAAAATTTGAGTTAGGGACTTGCTAAAAATTAATGTACTTTTTCCCCCAGTACGTCCACTCCACCTCGCCAGCCAGCGTGCATCATGTACAGAAGAAACATTAGTCCAGGTACTCTGGCAAATCGTACTGAATTTCCAGATCTAGTAAACACAGACTTAGGAAATGAAGGATAATTTACTATTCTTTTGAGAAAGGCTATGAAGTTCCATATCTTTTAAAGATCTTGGAATGTTTCAAAATAAAGGTAAACTGTCTCTTTTGCAAAATGCAAAGATAAGCTCGTAATTACAGACGCAACTTGTAAGGAATCCACCATTTCACTTTCCTGCTTCAGAACATCTAACCACAAATTCCTAAATTTTCCAAAAAAAGGAATATAGTAGGACCCTGCCTTGGAAGTTGTGAAGAAAGAGACTTTTGCGTTTAGTTTTAGTGAATGTGGAAACCACGATTGTTCTGTGCTGAAAATATCGCTGACGCTTGGGTCTGAGAAGCGTCTCACACAGCAGTTCCTACGAACCCCTCACCCCCACCCCTTCCTCTTCTCTCCCCTCCCACCCTTCCCCGCTCGCTTCTGCTTCCTCCCACCCCTCTCCCTCTCTGTCTGGAAGGTGTCCTATTTCCTTTCTCTTTATTCCTTCCATCCCAGAAAATGGGAGGACTAACACCAGTATTTTCATTTGTATTTATTTATTTATTTATTTATG